TCTATCTATCTATCTATCTATCTATCTATCTATCTATCTATCTATCTCTGTCTGATCTGAAGCTATTTGTAGTTGTGGCTTCAGCACACTAAATCAAGAAGGAATCCAGAGAGGGTGGCGCAGCTGAAAAAAGAGTTCTACAAGGCTGATCCGGTGTTTGTAGGACAATGTCCTTTGAACGCATGATACATTAGCAGATCTCTGGCCCAAATTGTGTGACTAAGGCTGATATATACAGGTTGTCTGTTCACTGCTGCACATTGTCTGTAGGCAGGTCTGTGTACATATCAAAGAGTTCCCACTTTGTGGATTTCTGTGAAGGTTAAGTGATGCCCTGCGAGCACAGACCATTTTTATTCACAGATTAAACCAAAGGAGAGCTTGTTTACAATGTAAAGCATAATGTTGTGTAAAGATTACACAGTAACGTTCAGAATAAAAAGAACAAGCTGCTCCAAAAAGTGGGTTATATTTGATCCTGGCTGCCTGTTGCTTCATTTCCGAGAGGCCGTGAGTTATTTAAAAGAATGATGAAATCTTACAATTGTCCAAATATATTGCATTGTTGGAAACCTTCTCAGTTCAAGACGAGAGTTGTGGTACAATGACTTGAATCATTCAAACTACAAAAACTCAACAAAATGTTGAAACGAGAGCTGGATACTCTAACGCAACACTCATTTTAGCAATTTTAGCATTTCTATGACATAATTTACATTTCCTTTCAAATATACTCAGCATGCTTTTTGAGGTTACAAAAAATAAGCACAATATGTTGGGCTATCACATAAAGATATTTTAGAATCTACTCAGACATGCAAAATATATTTTTTAAATACTTCAGCAAAGCGTGTTTATGGGCACAGATCAGTTTGCTTTGGTTCTAACTGAAGACCATTAGCATAAAACTCTTAAAATGCCCTGCATGCTACTTACAGAAACTGCTAAATGCTTCGCAGGGACCTCTTGTCTTTTTTCTGCTTTCGGGACTGGTGCATCATGTTGGTTAAGGACTGCATAGCTGCGTTCATTCACAACCTTTTACGAGTTTTCTTATCTTCTTTCAACATTAGGTATCAAAGACAGCAAGAGAAAAAAAACAGCTGGTCTGCAGCTGGACGCAGGGTTGATAAGAGCAAAGCTGCAGGTCACAAAACCAAGACAATGTCCTGAATGACAACGTGCTTTGCAGCTGAGGGTGGCTGCTGGGTCGGTAATAACTCTCTGTGGAGCTCTCACAGGCAGTAATCTGTCGCCATTTGATCCATTTTCAATGTAAAACTATGACATACAAATATAAAAGCTGAACCCGAGCAGAACAACATCTTTGACAAGATGTCTAAAAATCTGACAGGTATTCCCTTTAATTGCATTTGATTTAAAGCATCTTACATTTCAAAAATACTTTGTGCCTTATGGAGAAAAAAAAAAGAAGCCAGACATAAAAAACACGCATGAGGAGTTTTCTTAGATAAGATTTCTCCCAGATTAACACCATGGTGTGAGTTTCCTATATGAGGAATCAACCCATAGGCACCATTCATATGTCATCATGTGCTATAAGCTCCTTCAGCCTGCTTCATTTAGTCTAATATTTCAACATCTCCCCTGGGCTTCTCTGTCTGTGTCTTTCTTGATCGTTCATCCCTTCATGTCCCATCCCTCTCTTCTTGTCTCCCAAGCAGCTGCTCCACTTTGCAGCTATTTAACAGCTGTTTTGCATCAATTTGCGCTTCAGAGTGCAGATTTCTACCTTGTCCATCCTCTCTTTCCCTCTCACTTTTCATTCCCCCTGCTCCTTTCTGTCTTCCGCTTGCTTTCCGACGACAAAGTGTCACACTGTAGCCCCAAACAACCTTGATGTTCTCCACAATGAATCGACCGTCTCCTTCAAGTCTTCAGCAATTCGGTAATGAAAAGCGCACACAGACTAGCCTGCCCATGATGAGAGATGAAAAGACACGGCAGTTTGCAAACACACAAACATAGGCACGCGCTTGTGCACGTGTGCGCGAACACGCATGTGCGCTCAGATTAGAAGCCAGCTTCTTTCCTACTTTTCTCTCTATGAAAACAAGTACTGAAGGAAGCGACGGTGAAGAAAAGAGCGAAGTGAGGCTCCCCTATAATCCCCAAATCCCTTTCTCTTGTTCTCAGACCCACACAAGAGAAAAGAGGGGGAGTAAGTGTGTGTCTGTGCTGTGCTGTGCATGTGTGTGTCTACAGAGACTAGAGTAGCCTGACATGATTTATGGTTTGCCTGTGCACTGCAGGCAGACACTTTCAGTTTTCTCTAAGGTGGGTGTCTCACCTCCATCCTTTGTGACCTATGCAGGTTGTATAGGTGTGTGTGTGTGTCTGTGTGTGTGTGTGAGTGTGAGTGTGTGTGTGTGTGCGTGTGTGAGTGTGTGTGTCAGAGAGAAAAGAGGAGATAAAGTGTAAAATGTGCACATGCCTGTGTGTGAACTGCAGGTGCATGAAAGAGAAATTGAGCCTCCTGATCGAAATTGTGCCGCCCTGCTTCATTTCTGTGTTTCTGTGTGGAGTCAAAGCTCACTGCCATGTGTATTCTCTGGTTGGGTTACGTATGGTCAGCTGACTGCAGGATACCCCCATTAAGCAGCATGTAAAAAAGCCAAGCATAAAGGCCATTATGAACTCCAGCCGTAATAGCTTCAGGAATCTTACCAACTCGGGAGACCTGGTCATTAGCCTATTCTTCCCTCATAAAGCCCTCTATCCATCACACGGGCAAGCAAACACACATTTGTATGCAGACTCAGCCACACACGAGCACAAGCCCCGTCTACCTGTCTCTGGTGAAGGGAGGAACAGTGCTGGGGATACTTACAGCGCGAACAATCCACCAAGACATCCACAGATGTCTGCCAAAACAGATGCACTCACGTGCGCATAAACATATACACGCAAACACACACACAGATGCTCATTTACAAAAGCACTGGAGCATAATATCAACCATGAACCCAAACCCCTGATTATTTAAATGTATTCCTCCTTTTCCATCCCACAAAAGTGAGAGGCTATAGGAGCCTGTTAGCTCTGGTCAGGTAGGAGATTACAAACAGAAACACTGTCACATACAATGCAGCTGCCACAAGCAATAGAACAGCAGCTACCCCCCCCCCCCCCCCCCCCCCCCCCCCACGTGCACACACTTTAACATAGAGAAAACATATACACACACGCCGTTGTGAAGTTTAATGGCAGTTCAGGAGGTGAAGACAAACTACAAAGGCAACAAGGAGGTGAGTGCACCCTTTATCCTCAGGCAGCTGCACACAAACAAACACACACACCCAGATAGTCTACAATGGCATGCTCATCATCACCATGTTCAGCAGCGTGCACGCACACACACACACACACACGCACTCACACACACACACACACACACACACACACAGAGGAGATTTAACCGTACATCGTACACACTTCTAAATCTAATTAATTTCACCCCTGCACACACAAACCTGCAATTCCAGACTAAAAACAACTGTGGCCCCTCCCTGCCGCCCCCCCACCCCCCACCCCCCACCCCTCCACAGGGCACATAAATGCAGATGGAAATATACAGTATGGACACACATATAGATCACAGTGTGAACCAGCACACACAAAGGGAGTCCTGAGAGAACAGATACCTGGGGATGGAGATGTACTGGCAGAGGTAATGCTGGAGTCAGTCACTGTCCTCAGGCAAAACGCACACAAACCTACACGCACACACGCAGCCACACGCACACATAGCTGTAAAGATAAGCACTAATCCTGTTTATTATCTCCTCTCTCTCTGCACTCTCCTTCTCTTTTTCATTTTATCTCTCCCTCTGTTTCGCCCTCTCTCCCTTCTTTTCTCATTTTGCCCATCTCTCTTCCTTGAGCTTGTTTTAGCGGCGCACACACACGCACAAACAGACACACAGTCACACGTCTGTGCGTGCACACATTGTCAGTTTACCCCTGTGATATTTGCTGGCCTGGGGCTGAGACGAGGAAACAGGGAAAGGGAGTGTTGATGTGTGCTGCTCTCTTCCAGCTCCAGCTCTGTTCGCGTCCTGCAGAGAGAATTACCTTCCCTTTGTCTGTGTGAAGGGGCTGCTGCCTTTACCATCTGTGCAGCAGATACAGTGGCAGGCGTGTGCGCGCTCACGTGGGCATGTGTGTGGATCAGTGCTGCAGCGTTCCAGTAAGTTTTCCATATAAAGAGATCTGGCAGGATCTGTTGTGGTAATGGCTGATGGCTTGCTGTCAGATTAACGTCCTCACAGTGGTGGCGATTGAGATCTCAATGGCAAAAACCGTGTCAGCTCAAGTCTGTTTAGTGGCTGCTCTGGAGCTTTGCCTCACTTGTCATGATGCCGTTTGAATTTCGTTCTCTTCTTTTTTGGAAATTCTCCAAAGAAGGAAAGAAGGAAAGGAGGAAGGA